CAATGTAATTAAGAATGCAATTAAATATTTTATTTCGCCGTATAATAAGTCATGAAAATCCTTATCGTTTTAAATACTGACTTTTTAATTTCTGTGAGTAGTCAATTAACACCATAGTAGCGCAAAATGATGCTCATGACAGGCAATATATGAAATCAAACGATTCCAAATCCATTATTTTTTGTGTACAATGTAAAAAAAATATTCATTTCGCATTTTTTTTTTGTCTCAATAAATGTTCTTAAGCATTCTATATAATCTCGCAATTATTGGACATCAGTCCTAAAAAAATTAAAATTTATTTTAAATTGAATTTTAAACTCTTCCTCACACAATTAAGCCAAACCAATTTTATAAACCCATGCAATCAATTCCCGTGTTTCTCTGTAAGATTGGCTTAACTTTTAATGTTTGAATAAATTAAACTATATGCGTAAATAAAAATGCATATTGAAACACCAGTTTCGGAATTACATAGAAGGAAGATCACATTTGGCCTTTTCATTGAGACCCTTTACTAAAATAAAACACAACGAACCAGCAGGAACGAAAAAAAAAGAAGAAAGAAAACCTGTTGTATACGCTTTCACGGTAGTCTAAATTTTGTATGTAGTTGCGATTTCGAGAAAATAAAGTAGCGATAACTTGCCAAAGAAAAAAACCGGATTTGAATGGAGGGGGTGACCCTCAGGCCAATCGAAACCCTCACTATAATGATTCAATCCTCCCAGATTTCTGAGGAGTTTTAACCGTTTTACTGACCACCAGGGGCAAAGGTTTCCTCCACTCTTCCTCTCCATAGACAGTTCACTTCCTTTTTCAGGTGCCAAACGGCCTTAAATTTGCACATTCATAAGTTTTTTCTTCCTTTTTTTTTTGTATGTCCTTACAATTATAGAGTACTAAGATTTTCAATTTTCTGTACTTCAAATTAAATGTTACCATTGTTTCTTTATCCACATTTCATGTAGCAATTTTTAAATAGATTCACATTTAATGCACTTAAAACCAAAATTGCTAGTAAATTGCAAAATCCCTAATAAATTGAAATTGATATAAAAATTACATTTCTTTAGTATGCCAATTCTAAAATTTCAAGTTTACTCATTTTTACCCAGAGGTTCAGCTACATGAAACTGAAACTCTATCTCTCCTATTTTTTTTACTAAGAAAAAGCAAGCAAAATTCAGTTTCAGCTCTCAAATGGCAATTAATTGATTTTTTATCATTTTGTTATTGTTTAGTTTTATTTCAAACAAATTGCCTTTATATTATTAAATTATTCAATATTATCAGGTATAACAGTTGGTTTTAATTACCCATTTTTTCCCCTCATCAGCAGTTTTAAGTATGTTTTTGTAGCCATACATTTACTTAAAAATCTTTCAAATGTTTTTAAATTAATTAAATACTATTTGTTTAATAGTTTTAAATTAAAAATTGATGTATTTTAGAACTTAGTTTGAGTTTTGCAATAAGATTTTTTTATCATACATTTGTAAGTACATTATTATTTTTTTTTTTTTTACAGAAAGATGCCTAGATTTTAAGAGCATGTGTGGCAGAAAGTTAAAAAATTTCTGCCACACGGCCATAGGTATCAAATTTTCTTTCATTTCATTTTGTTACCCTCTTTATCCCTCAGTGTATGGAAAATCAGCCTAATTATTTATTGTCATTAATATTTATAGTTTATATCTTTCTCCAAAGTCTGTTTCCTTTAACTACTAATGTCTTTCCAATTACTGAACTAATCATTTATTTTCATTAAATAATATTTGTAAGGCCTAATCTTCACATTTTTATTAAAAATTATTTATTATTTTATGAGTCTGATATTTTTTTAAATTTTTTTATAGTAGCTTCATTTGCTTTCGTTTTACCTGCTACTTTTTTAAACAAGGTGCTTGCTTTTGACCATGACTGCAGTTTTCAAAATGTCTGAAGATTATTTTATGTTATAAATAATACTAAAGTTGTTGAAAAGAATTACAAATTTCAAAATACTAGTTTTGAAAGAACAAGAAATTTCCCCTTTTTTAAATTTTAAATTAGTAAATAGTCTTGGAAGTGGGTGCAGATGTATTATGTATAAATTTTTTTAAAATCTGATCTGAGTGTATGACATGGTGTGTCATGTTTTAAACCTGTTTCTTCAACCGCAGTATTAATACTAGCTGTAACTTCAGAAGTTACTCACAATTTAATTCAAAGCTTACTATGTTTTCAATAAAGAATAATAAAAACAAAACAGTGACCTCTCATTTATGCATGGAGGCGGGGGGCCACAGGAAAAACTCTTATAAGCAAGACAGGCATAAGTGAAAAGCTATAATAAAGAGCTTAAAAATAGAGCATTAATGCATTTTACTACATTATATTTCTAATTAATACTATGTATACTTGACTGAACATTTAAATAAGATGAGATTCAAATTTCAATAAACTTAGCTATAAATAAATTAGTATGTAAAGGAAATGAGAATGCTTACATATCCAAATTTCGTTTTTATTCCAATTATGAATTTTTCACAAAATAATTTACAATCGATGTTTGTTTTTGTTTTGGGGAGTTTTCAAAATGAGTCTTTTTAAGTCCATAAAGACCTGAAAAAGTTTCTAGTGCCTCTAAAGCGCTGTGTGAGTTGGGAGAGCTTTTGTGGTATCCTCTTCATCATTGTCGTCCATCTTTTCATCCTTGTCGCCACTGTTTATTTCAGCTGCAATTTATCCAATCTCCCACAATTGAGTTATAATTGAAGATTCTTCAACGTCAAGGAATTCGTTGAAAGTTCAATTACCCAATCCACCAGATAAACATTCCAATCTTCTTCGCTAATGTTGTTTTCAATTTCATTTTCTGACTCTTGCTCCTCAGATTCAGATTCTTCTGGAAGCAGAAGAATCTGACCCTCTTTTTTAAAGTAGTTTTGAATACACTTGTCTGTGATGCTTCTCTTTGGTGAGCACAACATGTGTATTGCACCAAGGACAGTGATTTGATTTAGCTTGTCTTTCGTCTGAAGTTTTGTTCCCATGGCAGCCAAAAGAGGATGAAAATTTTTTTTCTATAGTGTACTTTTACATAACTTATGGCGCGCAGATCCAAAGGTTGAATTTCACTTGTGTATTTCGCAGGGAGGAAAACAAATTCCTTATTGTTGAAATTTGGTGAGTCTTGTGGATAAGCAGGGTATTGATCCATGAATAAAAAATTTTTTTATTTTTCCTTTTCCATTTTCCTGTCGAATTTATGAAGGAAATCCAAAAGATGTGTGATTTCATCCATGCTGTTTTGTTGCTACTATTGTTGCATGGGAGCTTCTTCAAATTTTTAAAACATTGCAGTTTGTTTGATCTTGCAATGACTAATGGTGTGAATTTTTCTGAGCCATCAGCATTGCAACATAACAGGACAATTGTCTTTTCTTTACTCTTCTTTCTGGCATGCCATGATTCTCCTTTAAATGCTAAAGTTTTGTCGGGCTTCATTTTACGAAAAAGTCCTGTTTCATCGCAATTGTCGATGTTTTTTAGTTCGTATCCTTTTATTAAAGTGGTCAATTCTTTTTTCCTCTGTTCAACAGTTTCTTCAATGACACTTTCACTTTCCCCAGAAAAGACACATTGCTAAATCCTGTCTGTTTTTAAATTTTTCCACTCATCCCTGAAATGCTGAAAGGTTTTGCCTGTCAAAACACTTTGACAACTGTACAGCCCTCTCCCTTAAAAGTTCTGCATTAACTGGAATGTTTGAGGCCATGAGCTACTTTAAACCATGTCAGCAAAACCTTTTTTAAATTCCTCATACTTTCCACCTTGAATCCTGCTCCATTTTTCGATTGCACACCACTTTTTCGATTTTCTACTGCAACTGCTTCTCGATTTTTTTTAAAATCCTTCTTAACGTTGATTTAGGGACATTAAAACTCCACCAAAACTTTTTTCGAGGTGAAAGGATTTTCTTCAAATTTTTTATTACATCCCTTTTAAATGAAAGCAGCAATTTTGTCCTTTTCGCCATGCTGAAAAGCAAGAATCTATCTAAACACCAACAAATTATCTTTAGTTAGTCGTCCATGTTACATGGTTGTTGTACTAACATATTTTATTGTCTCTGAATTTTACTAACCTCAATCTCCAGAACTACCCCTTCTTACCCCTCTAAGGAAATTGTGTTCCTGGAATTTGAACAATAGGGTCTAAGAGATAAAAGAGAACTGACTAGTTTACTGGGTAAGCAGTTGGGAGTCATCAAAAGCCTTAAAATCGGGTGAGTTAAGAGAAAACAAGTGTGAGGGTTGACTGCATAAAGACCACGCAAACATCTATTTGGCTATTGATGTTTTGCTTTACAGATTAAGTTAGTTACCAAAATTTATCTTTATAGCTTTAAATTATTAGGATATTTGTATAGGTAGAAAAATGCTCAAACTTCAATCGGTAAACTACGTTAAACTTCATTCTTTCAAATAGTAGAAATTGTAATAACATGCATCCACTAGTGCAATGGGGAAGGTTTTAAGGGAAGTTGGCTTTAAGGGGGGAAATGTCCAGTTTTTCATCTATTCTAAAATTTACAACGAGCATCTTGACTTCTTCTGTACTTTTATTATTGCCATTACTAATAATCGTCTTGGTGCTTATAAATATTACCTTAGTATTTAATCAAAATTTTAAAAAACCCTAGAAAACAGTTTTTTTTTGGCTTATTTAAAACTAAAGGTTAAATAATATTTTTGCCCCAAATTATAAGTAACTAAACCATTTAGAACTATTTCATTGAAATCTTTTTTAATTATTGATTAATCTTTTTAATAAAGAATAAAAAAAATTCACTTTTGTTCTATAAATATGAAGCATGATAAAAGAAGATTTTGAACATACTAATTCATTTCTTTACAGCCTTACTTAACATATAAATAAGCATTTAATATTTAAATGTTATTTTAATAGAGCATGAATGTAGAAGTTAGTTTCCCCTTTGATTGTCAGTGTAAAAATGCTTTATTTCAGCATTATTTACTATAATGTTACAATTTAGCAATATGTAATGCATTATTATCTGTTAATTGATAATCTTATATTGTTAATTATTTATTGAATCAATACAAATTCTAATATAAAGGAGCATGAGATATTCAAGCTAATATATTTTACAATTGAAAAATATTTAAAATTAATAGAATGATAAAAAGATATAAGGACAAATGGTTTGCATAAATATGAATATATAGAATAGTAAAGGTATGTCTTTGAGCTAATGGTTTGAAAAATAAAAAATAAATTACTCTTGTCATTTTTTCTATAAAATGGGACTGTAAATTTTATCATATTCTTGTTCACATATGGCAGCATTAAATAAATTAGCGCAGAAATACATTAAAAACAACTGAAATGAATTTAGAATATTTTTTTCTTAAACTGTTTTTTTAATGCAGTATAAAAATTTCACTTTGAGAAAATTTAAATATTGCATGTAAACATACTACATATAAATAATGTAAACATATAAACTATACAAATTTGTTTACTCTAGTTTTAGAAAATAATTCTAAAATCAAACTAATAAAGTTTAGATAAGTACCTTTCTCCTATTTATACTTTTGATTGTAGCAAATGTTATGTATTTAACAAGTAGGTAAAAGCTTTTTGAAAAACTAACTTTTTCAATAATTACATTAATTAATTAATTTTAAAAACTAACAGAACGCTCAATTAGTGAAGATCTATTTTATTTAAGCTTTTTTAAACTATTCTACATTTATATTTTTGAGGAAACCCAATTCTATGTAAACATATATAATTTGTAGATTTATGATTTAAACTAATATAGATCCCCCATGAGTAATTATACTCAAAATTGTAAAAAAATAAAAAAGTTTTCTTTTATTTAGTTGTAATCAATCTGAGAGAATTTGCATGAAAATTTAAAAAAAAATTATTATAAAGATTTCTTTTTCTTAAAAAAAAGCAGACGAGCTTTTTTTTTTAAAAAAAAAAAAAAAAAAAAAAAAAAAAAACAGCTNAAAAAAAAAAAAAAAAAAAAAAAAAAAAAAAAAAAAGAAATTGTTTAAACCACATTGGTCTAAATCAGCACTCCCTGTTTTTGATCATGGTCCTTTTGACAGGAATGAGAAATAATTTTTTGCATAAATCAACTTAAGTTCCGGTAATAACTAATTGATTAGCATATTGCTTCTAGTTTGAGAGTGCTGTTGCGAAGACCCTAAAGTTTAAGAATTATAGTCTTATTATTTTAAATTTAACTGTGGAGGGTTTTCTTTGTTTCCCTTTTCATGTAATGAAATGATAATCTAATGATGATTGTGATCCTTTATCATTGTACAACAATGACACTGGATTACAAATTTTATCCAGCTTTTAACAGTAATGAAAAATTCAATTTCTTCTGCAAAGATTGCTTAGATTACTTATTGCTTATTGCTTACGAATGATTACTTATTGCTTACGAATTACTTATTCCCCTCACTTAAAAACTATTATTAGGAATAAATCTTAAGAATTTTCTATCAATACTGTCGATAGTTAATGTACAGTGCACGAAAAAAAAATAAGCGAACCACCTTAAATTAATTTCAATCTAATGATCAGATCTTCTTGTTCTAGGATTGAAACGTAATGGTTTGAGGGAGGGGAATATAAATATTCATATTAATTAGTGTGGACGATATTTTAAGTTACAGAATCAAATAAAAAAACATACTTTCTCTAAATAAGCATACCTTTCTTCAGACGGATTCAGATTTCTTACCCTCAAAATATAGGGGGTGGCTGTATTCTAGGAAATATGGTCCCGATGGTTTGGTCAGGAAAGTGGTTCAAAGTTTGGACCCCTTAATGTTAATTTTACTTTTTGTATATTTTGCCATATCTCAAGAACTTTTCAAGTTAAATAAAAAAAAATTTGCAAACAATTATAAAATTCATTTATCAAAGATATATTCATACAAAGTATAACTTTTAATAAATTTTTTTTATTATTTTATTTAATAACAGTTGAAACTATTTTGAATTGCAAAGTATAAAATTTTTGACTTTTTAAAGAATGTAATTTTAAATGGCAACATACAAAATTTAAGATAAATTGGTCAAATAGTTCTTGAGAAATCGGATTTTGAAAAAGTTGTAATTTTAAAAATTTGATTTCTCAGGAACTATTTGGCCGATTTCACAAAAATTTTGTATTTTGCCATGTTCTTTAAAATGATTTAAAAATTTGTATTCCTAACAATTCAAAATTTTCTTGACTATTATTGAATAAAAAAATAATAAATATTTATTATAAGTTTTTTTTATCTTAGAATTCTCTTTGGAAAAACAAATTTTACAATTGTATGCAAAAATTTTTCAATTCGTTTAAAATGTTCTTCAGATATGGTCAAAAATGCGAAAAGTTAGTTTAAAATGCCTAAAGTTATCATTAAGGAGTCTAAACGTTGAACTATTCTTCTGGTCAAAGTATTGGGACCATATTTCCCTGATTACGGCTACTCACTATATTTTGAGAATCAGAAATGTGATTCCATTATAAAAAAAGGGTATATTTATGCAGAGAAAGTACATTTTTGCGTAACTTAAAATATCATCTGCGTATTAATAATTAGCATATTGAGGTCGCCTCTCAAACCATTATGATTGAGTCCTAGAACGTAAAAATTACGATCATTAGATAAAAAATTCAGGATGTTCTGTTTTTTATTCTGTGCAGTGTAAGATATAGATAGAAAGTGTTGTTGTACTATTAATTTTCAAGTAAGTTTTGAAAGTAGTATCTAAAATTTTTAAGATAGGTGTACATTGAAGAATTTTTATCATCTATTTTTTATTTTCATAATTTGGTAACATAATTGTATTAAAGTTCATAGACAATTAAAGAGATAAAAAAAATAGGAAATTATCAGACATTATTGAAGAAAATACAGTATTTTACCGAAATTAATTGAAAGGGAACTTATATAAAAGACTTAAATTCTAAAATATTTTTCTTAAGACTTACTTTCCGTCAACAAAAAATTCTTCATTGTTATATTTGATAATTTTGTTTAGTATTCTAAACTACTTTCTAAAAAATTAGGAAAGCAATTAATAAAAAGATATGTATTTGCATAAATAAAAAAGATATATTAAGGAATTATAAAAAAAGACTATTTAAGAAAAGAAATATTGGTACCTATATAAATTAATGAAGCCGTAAATTTTTGTATTAGCATACTATGTAAGTCAGGCATACTATATGGTATGTACTAGCATACTATGTCATGTCTGTTACTGTGATTAGTTGTTTAAAAATTATTTATTAATTTATTTACTCAACTGGTAAATTTAGCTCACTAGGTTCAACTAAAATTTTAATCAAATAAAATTTTAATATTTTATTTTTATAATTATTTGGTTTTCAGATATATAAATTTATTTTAAATATCATTTATGTTGTCAAGCACCAGTCTGTTACTAGCTTTTACTTTTGAATGCTTGATTAGTTTCTCTCTCTTTTTTCAGCAAAACTGGAATTACTATATATTTTTTTTAATATAAACTATGCATTATTTAATATCATTATTTATATTATACAAGTAAATGAGTTTAAATTTTAATAATATAAAGTGTTTTATTTAGGTTCGAGACAAACTCACTTTGCTAGCCAAATTTGTCACTATGCTGATTTGTATGCTAGCACATTTATGAATTTGATGTACTATCCGTTCAGCTTTATGTTTAGAGCCCCTCCTATGCTTGTAAGTATTAAGGAACAATTTGTAAAAGCTCTTTGAATTATTTTTCATTGAAATTTTTTTAAATTTCTGTAAATACTAATATTTTCTCAAAAATATATGTTTAGTACAACCTATTTGTTGATAGTACTTGTAGATTCATTCTTATAATATGAAGTTGCTACCATTATTAGTGTCACAAAAATATTAAATTTAATTTTATTACTCTGGACCATATTATGTTAAGAATAGCTTTTTAGTCATTCCAATTTCCCATTTTGGGACACATTTATGAAACTGAATTTTTTAATTACTGGCTTTTAGTGCTAGAGAGCATTTTTTTTTATCTTTGAAGATAAAACAGTCTCATAGCTAGAATTTCTATTGAGGAAGGTCACCCTCTCTTGGCTGGTGAGGTATCCCACCATGAATGGGGTTGCCTAGTTGGATTTTTAATTTTTTTAATTACTATTATTTTAAAATCCAGATTTGTTTATTTATTATGTTTCTTTTATATTAATATAAATAAATATATAAATTAGTATTAAGAATATATTGACCAATTTAAATATTTACTATATTTGATACAATGTAAGTTTTTGAAAATTTTCTTTGGAGACTGCAGATGTTTCTGTGTAACATCTGTATGGTGAGAGCAATTAGATTATTCTAAATTTTTGATGCTCTTAAATTACTCTTGTTCATTAGAAATTTTGTTTAAAACTCCAATTGTTATCCTGCTTATAGAACTGAAGAATTACTACTGGGTATTTCTTTAAGTTTTGTGATTGTGGAGTCCGTGATGTTAAAAAATCAAGAGTACACTCTAGTGTCAAAGAAGCTCCCTGTTAACAATAATTCATTTAACTTCAGTAGGAGTGTAACTTGAACTATTTGTTTTGAATCTAGCATAAGTATTGAAGAGATTAGGGAGAAAAATACAAAATAACTTAATATCTAGTTTACAAACCATTTTGCTTCTGAACAGACCATTTTTGAGTGGGGGTGGGCGCTGTGTCTTGCTTTCAATTAATTTTTAAAATTTTTTAATAGTTAAGGTACAATCTAAACAAAAGTGGTCAGTGATTTAGGTTCAGTTCAAAACCACTTGCTTAAAGCTAAGTAGCTCCAGTGAAAAATGAGTGAATCAAACCTGTTTATTTGAAGACTTAATTTGAAGAAAACCATGTTGTTGTAGGGAAATGTCTCGAAAATATTTGGTTTAATGTTATAAAGCATATCTTATGAGCATAACTTGATTTTATCCAGGGCTTTTGTGTAAAACTTAAATAAAGTTTCCAGTTTGGTTATGTCAGAAAATAAATTATCAATTATTTGTTGAAATTAAAATATTTTTGAAGGGTTTAAAATAATCCCTTTATTTTAAAACAGTTTGAAAATTGTAAAAATACAACTTTAAGAAACAACATTTGACGTTTGCATCTATTTTGTCACGAGTTCTACTTATAGTGTAGTTAAAGCTACAATTCTGTATTAAGGTGAACGGAATTTGCTTCATGTTGATCTTACACTCTTTATATGTAGAAAGTGGATAAATTATAAATATCTAATGTGTATTTCTGACCAAATGTGTTCAGTGTGTTTTAATGAGATATACATGTTTCTCATATCAGAACGAATTAATGACAGTGCTGTGGGTCTTGTAATATAAAAAAATGCACAAGGAATAGAACAGTTTAAACACAAGATTATCCAGTTAATTTTTATGAAGAATTTTTCTGTAATAAACAATGAGAAGACTTGTTATTGACCAACACTTTATCTCATTTTAACCATTAAGATTAGCACTTAGTTCATGAAAATCTGATCATTGGAACAAAGTTATTTAAGGTGATATGTTATTTTTTTCCAGCTATATGCTTCTTGTAAAATAATTTTGATGATAGCAGTAATAATACCAATTAAGTACATTCTTTATTAATTATTTTATTGTCGACAGATGCCTCATGAATCTACTGTTCAACATGAAGAAAGGAATTTCATATCAGATGCAGAAGCTGAGGAGCTGGATGAAGAGCTCATTAAAGAGCCATTGAGAAGACGATCAAGGCTTGAAACTAGTGAAAGCAAATCGGTGCCTCATTTGTTTGCTGAAACACCAAATGTTGTTACTCATCACCATGACACTGATGATGATGAAGATACTGATAAATCTGCTGAAAATTAAGAAAAATAATATTCAACAAACTCTGTTAGGTTTTTCAAGCTGCATTTAAAATAAATATTTTCATTAACTTATGTGAATTTTGACTTTTTTTCTGTCTTGTGTGAAAGTTTATTAATTTATTCTGAGTCACATGATCTTGTAAAAATGCATTCTTTTTGTACATATTTGTCTGCGTAGAGCTGATATTTATGATTCTATTAAAAACTAGAGTTTTGAAGCCAAAAGTATGAAAATAAATTTAAAAGAAGTCAATAATGTGAAAGTAAAAAATTGGATTTAAATGAAATTTTTAACATTTCACAGCATCTTATTAATTTTATAAACTCTTATCACTCTCTTGCATGTGCAAAATGTATGTATATATTTTGCACATATGAATTATTTAAAACCTGGGCACAGAAACCTTGCAGCACAGGAGCGAACCTGCAAATTATTTTTCATCTAAGTTGATTTCATATTTTCAGGTATAGTTTTTGTCTAATCGAGTTAAGATTGTAGACATATGTGAATCAATGAAGACAGTGCTGTAGATTTACCCAATACATTTTGTTACCAGGCATGTATACATTCATATTAAAAGCATTCATATACATGTTTCACTAATAAGTATCACTTTTTTAATTAGTGAACAAAAATATTTTTTTTAATTAGACTTATTTTTACAGGTAATTGTTTTTGATAGTGAAAAAGCCAATGAAATGTATTTTATGATGTTTTTTATGCTGATTTTCTCAATAATCCATATTATGCATAAACCTCAACTTTTACTGCCATCCAGGTTTCCTTTAATTATTTCTACTGGCCTATCAAAAATAAGAGGTGCATTCATCAAAAATAAAAAGATGAATTAGCAACTGATATCTTTGATTTAGACATTTTCTTAAACATTGATAAGAATTTTGATTTTATTGTTAATATGTGCCAAAACCAATAATCGTATTTAAAACTCTTTTATGTATTTTCTGCATAATGATTCTAGAAAATCTGAAAAACAACTTTAATTTCTAATATTTCTTTTTTTTTTGTTTTTTAAATTATTATGTGGTTGAATCAAAATTGTTTCTATTTCTTGAAACACTCACATATGCAGGTTCAAAAAAGAGGGTAGGGTTTATGTTGTTCTATGTAGATTAATGCAAAAAGCGTTAAATTAAGCACAGAAGTCTAAAAAAAAATAAAGCACAAATGTCTTAAAAAAAAAGCTTAAATGTCTAAAAAAAAGTAAAGTGCAAATGTTTTGTATCATATCTTTTAGCTTTAGTTTATATTCAGGATGTCTGAAAAGTATGGAAATGGTTTATTATCTTCAAAACCTTGCCTTAAAATACACTTGCGTAATAATTTCCAAATATGCATTCTATGATAACAAACTTGACTCCCTAATCTCGCATCTCACTCCCTGGGAGTGAAGTGTTGCTACTTGAAAATCCTAAATAGGAACATCCATTTTTTTTTCTTTTGCAAATTTGAATTCTATGGATAAAGTATCTCAATTTGATTTCAGGTTTTCGTGTTTTGGTCTACAGATTGTGCTGTAATCAACAAAAAATTAAAATGTGCTGCAAATTGTTTAAAATGGAGGCATCTCATGAAAATCCATGACAGATTGAAAAAATAAAAATGGGCATATTTGATATTTTTTTAAAAAAGACGTGACACCAAGCTCAACCCTTAAGAATTAAACTGGGCAAGCATCTTTAAAATCTTAGAAACATTTTTTCTTCTTTTTTTATTGCAGATTTAGATTCTCCATGGGGAAATACATTGATTTGAGTTTTGAATTACGAACGTTGGGTTTAAAAATCTAATTTAATCTAACTATTTCAATGAAAAAAAAATGAAAGGAACATTTCTTTACTTCAAACTTAATCTCTTCAATTTGTCACATTTGATCTCGCTAGATAGGTTTTTAAAAGTATAAAACCTGTCCATTTTTTTTTCAATATGACTTTTATAATGTTTTTGGAAATACTTTCCTAATAAAATGTATTTGCCCCAATTTTATTTCTCTAATACAGTGCTATCTGTGAATGGAAATGCAAAGATCTGTAGGTCAAACTGGAATGCTTTTATCTGGTGAATCCTTTTCTGCAATAAAGAATGGGAGTTCATAATAAAGATTTTATATTTGATTCGTACCACACCCTCAAAAGTAAGGAGGGTTCAAGTATGGAGAGTTTTCAAAAATATTTTGCATGTATATTTTTTTTATGGATATATTCCGAGATATTTAATCGTTTCCATATTTTTTGAACACTTTGCTCAACAGAGGAAGAGAGGTTACTTAATTTTTAACACCTTTTTGCAATGAAGTGTTCAAAGCTCTGTTGGTAAACTTTTAAGAGTTTTTTTTTTCTCAAATAAATTGTTCTGTTGAAATTTTTAAAAAATGCAATTTCAAGAAATGTTTTGCTTAAAACAAAACTGAAAGGATAAGTTCTTATTTTTTTTTTAATATTTTTTATTGTAAACAGAGAAATATTTACAAGTTAAAAATGACTAGCGTTTTTACACATTTTGTTAGAAAAGTAGTTTAAGCAATAAGTTTCTGAGCAGCGTGATTCAAGAAATCTTGAGCAGCATCAGCAACTTTCTTTACGCTGTGTTGAAGAAAAACTTCTGCCTTAGGACTGAATGTGCGGGCATCTTGAACAACTCGGTTGAATTTATCCAAAAGGCTCATTACCTTGAATGCTGTTCCCAAGGAAGTTCCTTCACCTAGGTTGCCACCAATATCTAACAAGTTGAAGCTTCCTGAAATTGCAAGTACAAGAATAAAGAGATTTATAAGCGCATTCTACTATAAATTTACCACAAAAGATCCTATGGTGAAGAGTTTTCAGGTATTTATAACCATTAATTTAATTTAAGATAATAAAATTCGTAATTTCGATGAAAAGTTTGAATTTAAACGTTTTGTGCATACAGTGAAAGAAAATATATCTATAAAGTGAGAAAATGACTTTCTATCTTACGATAATTATACTAAAATTTAATTATGGGCTATCATTATTTAAAAAGTGAATTAAAAAATATGCTGCAAAAAAATATTTTACTGTAACTCACAGTGTTATTTTTTTCTAGAGCATGCACCCCTGCTTCGTGGAGAGGTTATTTATGCCACTGAAAGTTGTCTATTCTAGCAAGTTCTATCACCCCTTCCTGTTGTTATAAGTTTCGTATACTACACTTTTTTTTTTTAACTTAACCTCCTTGGTCAATTCTATTCAAAAAAAATTTCCTCTTTTTTTAATATTTAAATTTTTTATTCTTTTATCAAAATTTTCTTGTTCCCTTATTTAAAATAGTTAAACAGAATAAAAATAAAATAAATTAATAAAGTAATTTTAAAAATTATCAAATTTTTTTTCTTCACCTTGTAGAATTTTTTAAATTAAAATTTCCGTAACACAAATTTTTAAGAAATATACAGTTGAAGTGCGTCAGGCAAAATAATGATCTGCCACATTTTTAAATTATTCGGTGAGCGCATTTCGCTGTTATCGTTCGGGAATTCCTTTAGTCGAAACTTCTAACGTACGTATCTGGAAACAATACTAAAGAAGTTAAGTGCAAAAATGCCATTTGTAGAAAAAGCATAATTATTAATTTTATTGCCAACAGTATAGGGCACACATTAGAGGTTCCGCTTCCCATGAAAATCTGCAAATTCAATTTTTTTTGCATCAAAATCAGTTCAAACCATTGTATCGTACATTGATATCGCGATAAAACTCCTGAAAAAAACCACTGTCATCGGTCCTTCAAAATAGAACTTTCTAAAATCAAATGCCTCATGGAAATATTAGTAAGGGTTATTCAAAGAAAAATAATTAATAGCATCTATTTTAAAAATCAATTTTTTATGAGATAATTAAAATGTACATTTAACTAAATAAAATAAGAATACTCACTCATAACTAAGGTTTTTTCAATTTCGTTGACCAAGTCGTGAATTTTAGATCGAACTTCAGCAACAGAGTTCTTCAACTTTTCGTATTCTTGAGGCAGTTTTTCTTCCAACAAGTTCAAAGTTGCTTCCATTTTGTGCAAAAGATCCAAGATCTACGAAAAAATAAGAAAATTGTACAGTTATATGTCATAACGAAAATATTGTATACGAAAGTTATTAACTGTTTTATTAATTTTGAAATTTTACGTAAAGTAGGGAACATTTTGTTTATAAAGAAAGTCGAAAATTTTTTAAATCTAAAATTAAAGATCTAAATTCAAAGTTAAATCTAAGAGTTGGAAAAGGATCTAGAAGATATATATGAAAAATTGTGATAGCTCTGGGAAAGTTCTTATTTTATTATACAATATTCATTTATTTTGCTAAGTTTTTTAATCATGAAGATCTCGGTAGATGACGGATCTCAGTAACGCTTTTAGAGCGTTTTCGGCGTGGAAAAATGTTCTAAGTGTTCTTGTCAACAAAGAAAAATAATTTTAAAAAAAGCCACAGTTTGAGTATTTTAAGTTCAAAGTAAAACTTTAATGCGAAACTTTATACTATATCTTCGTTTCCGTACATGATTGTTTGAGCTTTAAAATGAACAAATAGTTTAAATATTTAAATTATTAAACTTTTTAGTCAATGAGATTAAAATCCATGAATAATTCGTAAGTCTTACAAATTTTTATGAGTCGAAACAAAGCGTTGGAGTAACTTTTCAAACATTTAAAACTTATATCCCAGAAGATTTTATTATTTTACAAATTAATGGTTTTTCTTCATATTGACGTTTTGCGCCATTTTCATACTTAGCATAGAGGGCGCTGACTAATAAACAATCATGAATAATTATTACTAACTCAACAATTATATAAGTAACATATTATTCAATAAAAAGAGTTATTTTATGTGACGTCAAAGCCATCGAGAGAGAGAACATCAAGGAGCGGACAATTTGAAAGAGTGAAGTCTACAACTAATGATATGGATTGCTTACTGAATGTAAACAATAACAAACTTTTTAAAACCGAAGGAAATTAAGAAAACCTCTAGGTATCCCTCTGCTAGCGTTATGTTTACGAGGAGATGTGTGAATAGACTTGATATTCTAGAAAGTTTTATTATTGTGAATTGTGTTTAAATGTACGCATTAATTTCACCATTCGTAAGACTTTTCTGTAATTATAAATTCTAAAAAGTCGTTAGCCGTAAAAAAAAAAAAGTTGAGAAAATTAAAATCACTACATTATTAAAGCGTAAGGTTTGTCATGTTACGAGTGTTATCCCCTACTTGGCTATATTTGTGTAACATGTCAACGTTTGTTATTTTTTGCTTCCCATCATAGCATGCTTTCAGAGTCTTTCAAATTCGTTTATTGTTTGTTTCGTTTAAAGTTAAATTGAAATAACGCTTTAATTGAAAACATGCAAATATAATAATGTTGGATGGCCCGGTTTTTTAAAACTTAGGCTTAAAAACAAATCGGACGTAATAACCCGGAAGTCTTACGACGAATTTTAACCACTATCGTAACCTATGCGTAGCTTTATACGGTCAATCTTCCATTAAAAATTTTTTTTAGCATTTTTTTCCTAGTATTTAATGTTATTGAAAAGTTGAGTTAAAAGTCTGTGAATAAAAGTAGTGAACTAAGTAAATTAAAGTAGGATATTACCAGAATGTGACCTTCATGCTCAACTCTCTCAAAAAGATCTTCAATCTTCTTTACAATGCTTTGTGCAGTATCTTTATCATCATTACCTTGAAGACCGAGTTCCTTAAGAACATGAGTAGCGAAATCCTTGACGTGGGATTCAATACGATCCTGAATTTTGTTGAGGGTTTTTTCAAGCTTTGGTTGGAACTTAAGAAAAAAAGGAAAATTTTTATATATTGATTATGTTAATGAGTCATTTTTGTTCATAAAGTCTATTTAATACATACAAAACTTGAACTAAAAATATTTAAAAAAGAACGTATTTCACTTATGCGTAACATCTTCAAGTTACTACAATTAATGCAAACTTGAAACTTAAAACAGATAAGACTCCAATAGTGAGTTTTAATAATAATCATCTGAAATGATCGAATGTCGTTTCGCAAACCAATAATTATATCTTGCTGGAGCGAAGATTTCTGTTACAATTTTGAATCATTATCTTACTCGAACCATAACTCAGAAGTTATTACTGTCCGAGGACGAGAATAATTTTAACACTAATTTATCGAGATAGTATTTCTAAAATTCAATATTATGCGTAGAATAAGTCAGAATTTTATATATTTTTGGACTCAAGAGTTAAGTGTTTAAAAATAGAGCTATTTAAAAGCTTCAATGAATCACTATTTAAAGAAATATATATTTCAAATAATATAGTTCTAAATACAGCACTTTGACGTCTTAAAAAGAGAGTGTATTTTTTTAGTATATTTTTTGCTGTTATAAGATGGGAAAAATGTGAGAGACAAATCTTCTATGATCATTTTTAGAAAACTAAAATCTTTATAAACTTGATGTTTCTAATCTTTGATACATTTTTTGTTCAATTTTTTTTCCTTTTATTTTAAATGAAAGTTTCAATATTTTAATTTGCTTTAGCTTACTATTTTAAGTATTTTACGCTTTTAGTTGTTACTATTTTAAAAACGTTAAATTTCTTTAAATATAAAATTTCATATTATTTCTTTTTAATATTTTTTTTAAAAAATAACTATGAAATAAAATCAAATTATGTTTTACTTATTTTCCTGTAAACAAACTAAATTAATATAACTAAAATATATGTATTTCAAATTTCAGACCGTTATTTTTGAAGTTATATTTTTTTAAAGTTGGAAAAAGCATGAAAACGGTCTTAAGGAAAAAGAAACTATTAAAAAGTTTCAAAATCACTCGAAGCTCAATGTGGGAAAAGAAAAACGATTCCATTTAATGTGTTAAAGATCAAGGCGTAGGGAAAAAAAACGATGATTTCATTCAATGTGTTGAAATTTAATGTGGAAAAAAAGAAAGTGATTCAGATTAATGTGTTGAAGTTCGAGGTTTTAATGTCCTGTCTCGCATTCTTATATAGTTACTATTACTATTTTACAATTCGAATGATAATTAATTGCATTATTAAGTAATGAAAAAAAAGCTCATGATTCATAAGATTTATGTGCCCCGCATTCCTGAAACAAATAAAAACTATTCATTCATTATTGAACCATCTTTAAAGAACAAGGGATAGATAAATGTAAAGTTTGATGACGTGAGAACTGAAAATTACTACACCAACTTCATATTTATTTGGGCAATACGTACTTAGGATAACGGAAACAACCGATGATATAAACTAAGTTTGATTTGAAAAAAAGATGGTTGAAAGATTACTGGAATTTTTCGCTTATACCTGCTGAAGATAATCTCTCTGAAAGGCTATATCTATTATATAATTTATACGTTTAATGAAAAATATGTTTCAGAAAATTTTTATGATATAAACTGTTCAAAACAATTTATGGGACTATTTTAATGTGATTTTTTTCTGAATCTATGCAAGTGTAGGGAAAAAATTCTCATTTTCCTATCAGATTTTTAAAGCAATTGATAAAATGGTATCTTATTGCTTTTGTAATACTGCAGGATGTTTCTTTCTTTTTCAAATGTTATTTTAGAAACATAAAATATTCTAGCATACAATAATAAGTAAAGTTTATTTATAGACTTAATTTTGTTCAAATTGAGAGTGAGATTAATCATACATTTACTCTGACAAATAATTTGACAAATTATTTTGATAAATTTATAGTTATTAGTAATAAGGTAGTTTAATAAAAGTAAACTTTTATTTTTCTTGCAAGTCAGGATTTCAAAGCCATTAAAAATTTCCTAGTCTTAGAATCTTATATAAGACAATAAATTTCGAAATCTCCAGATCTAGTTTCTGTTGCATAATTTTGTTTGAAGTAGCGTAACACGTAAATTAATAACAGGAATTACTTTTTAAAAGAAAAAAAATGCTATATTAATGATAAATTTAGTTACAGAGTGGATTTTGTTTAAATAATAAATGCAAGAAACATTTTTAGTTTATGCGAAAATTTAATAAAAATATGTCAGAAAATTTAATTTTTCTGTAAGCAGTTTGAATGCAAAGAAATAAGAAATAGAAATCAAGTCTTTTTACTCTTTTTTTTATTTTCCGCAAATCAAAGAAAGCCCTCATTTATCACAAGCAACGAAAATTAAGATTGATTTTGAAAGACTTCACTGTCGGCTGTGGTTAAATAATGAATTTAGATTATGGTATTCATGATTTCAGCCTTGCTGATTTGAATTTTTCTCATTACATTTTCTTCCTTTTTCAGTATTTAGTTCTTGTTTAATAATAGTTAATTAATAATATATTTTGAAGAACAACTTATGAAAACAAATCATACTGAAATTTTTTTAATCAAGATTCCAAAAACACGTTAAAGTTGAATAAAAATCTTAAAGAAGATAATTGTTCGGTTTTTAAAAACTAAAATGAAATAAAAATAACAAAAATTAATATCTAGATTTGGTTTAAAGGGAAATTTCTTAGTTAAAGCAATTTGAGTTGCAATATTGTTTTGAATACATTGATCTTAGTTACTTGAAACTAAGGGATAAAAACCTTGCTTATATTTGTTATTATATTATTACTTATGCTTGCGTCAAGTTTGGTCAACATTGACTAATTTCAAAAATGAAATTCACTTATTTCGATAGAAACATCGATAGTTTCCTTTATTATACGGTCGAATTCTTTATATATATATATATATATATATGTATACAAATTCAAAGAAAATTTGAATGGAGAAATAAAAAAAGAGAAAAGTATTTAAAATAAACAAAAAAAATTTTAAAATTTCAAATTTTTTTTAAATTTAAAATTAGAAAATTTAACAACTAAAAAATCTCGTCATCAGCTCAAACAATTACATCCGTATATATTGTGCTTTCTAATATTGTATTAATATAGCCAAAACAAAATAAATCACAAATATTCAATATATATATACACAGCTGTGTTGATAAATTGGGATGTATTTTCTAAATTGAAAGTTATAACTAAGTTGTTTCGTTGAGAAGATAAATGATATTAAGAAAATTATGTGTTTATATAGCAAATAGATTTGTTCATTAAAAACTGAGCTTACTTCTTTAGCATCTTCTACAACTCTGTGAGCTTTATCAGCCAAGCTCAAAAGGTTCAAAGCTGTGCTCAACTTGGTTCCTCCAGAGAGTTCAGTCAAACTTCCCAAAAGATCGAAACCGAACTGAACGTCTGTGAAACAAAATTAGGTTTAGAAGAAAAGCATATCATACATTTATCTACAAATATAAATTAGTGTTTATAAAAAAAATTGAACAGGCTTTTAAAGTTATTAGATAATCATATAAAGACCTATAACTTGCCGCAAGTTAAGAAAAAATTATTTGGTTTGAGATGGTTATTTTTCTGTACTAGAAAAATGTAGCTCAATTAATTTCTTGGTAAATTTGTGCAACTTTAAATATGATATATACTTTTTTTGAAGTTCCCAGGCTTTGCGAAAATTAAAGTGAATAAAAGAATAAAAGCAATTGTTGAGTTATTTTATATTAAAAGCACCTACTTTGTCTTCCCAAAAATTCCTCAATTGTTTCAGTTACTTTCTTGAGTCCAGCTAAGACTTCATCAGCTTCCTGATGCACTTTTTCATAGGTTTTTGGAACAACAGCTTTTACTTGCAGAACACCACTCTCAACATGGTGAATGACATTAATCATCTGCAATGAAACAAAAACTATTTTATTTAGAAGGGGAAAAAAACATGTTTTGTAAAAGTAACGAGGTAAGAAATTTAAAAAAGTAAAGAAATTAATTTCTAGTGATATTGAAGTATGTACAAGGATAGGAAGGTTATATGCTGGAAANTTCAGCCCACACAATTATATCCGCAAAACAGAGTGCTTTCTGATATTGTATCAATAAAACTAAAGACAAATATATTAATACAATAGTGTAAGGAGCACTCAAAAATTTTTTTAACAAAAATTACAACAAATAAAATAGAACACAAAAAGTAAAAATAGCATGTAAGAAAAGAAATTAAAATAAAAGAAAAAGAAAAAACAGTATAAAAAATGGACTATAAAGCGAGTACCGAAATCAGATCTACTATCTGTTGTTTGTTACTTTTTACTTATTATTCCCCCCCCCCTTTTTTCATATGTCTATAATTTTTTTTTTGTTTTATCTTCATTTTGAACTTGTTTTTTGGTGCTGTTTATGCTTTTGATTTTTAATATTTAAGCAAGAAAGAAGCAAATACTCTTCTTAATTGTGTCGAAACACTTTTGGTGGGATTATTTATACACATGAATGAGAAATCGTTTATATAATTAATTGTCATTTTAAATAATAAGAAATGAAATAAGGGATAGGAAAGGGAAAGTAAACATATTAATTAAATTTAAAGTAAAAAAGTAAATCAAGTTAGAAATAATATAATGTATTATTTGATTGTTTGCCAATTACATAAAATTAAGGAAAATAAAGTCATTAAGAGTTTCGGAATATAACTGGTCTTTGGTTATTAGATGGTTTATATATTCGATGAATAAGACTGAAATCACAACTTAGTTCGGATTTAAATTATAAAGCCACTTAGGTTTTAGTTAATTATACAGAAAGGAGGATTAAATCTACTACTTCATAGACGTAATGCATCTTAAAATGTGTGTTTCAGATTCTTGTTTGAAAATTTGTTGTTGCATAAGCAAATTTTAATCTCTTCTGGAGTTGAAAGCTTCCAATTATATTGTAGAACTAAGCCAAAAGCTAAGATTGAAAGATGCTTGGCTCTTGTGAAATTCTTTTTACTTTTGAACACTAACGTTTTGAATTTGAGACTTTTCAATAATACATTGTTTTCACCTTATTACTTTATCTAATTATACGTTATTAGAAGGAGACAGTTTTCTAAATATATTATCCTTCTTAAATGCATCATTTTTCAAAATGAACGTATGAGCTTACTTGTTTATTTTTTTAAAAATTATGACTTAGGATAGGCGGTGTTATTTATGAATCTTTTAAAGGTTAAAGTCTCTTCAAGAAATATATTTCACTAATGAAAGACGAGCGCTGGTTTTGATTCTGAAACTCCTGCTTTGAAAGCCATTTAAAGTGAAGTATTTTATTTGAACATGCATTCTTTTTCGTCGATATTAAATAAATATTTTTATGTTAATGTTATGCATTTTGCACTTTATAATTGAAAAAAAGAATTCGTTAAAATATTTTCTTCATATTTTTCATTTTATAAGAAAAATTAATCTAATGCATTTTAATAGTTTTGAAATTTAAAAATTCAAAAGTTTTTTATCACCATCTATTTAAAGCAAATTTTAGAACTTAAATGATTGAAATAGAAAATTATTTAAATGTGTTAGATATTTTAAAATTCCAGTTTTCTATTAAAATTCCCTGTTTTACTCCTGTACTGAAACTTCCTAGTACAATTTTGTACTTTTATAACTATTTAAATGTATTCAAATTCAAATCAATGAGTAAAATATGTTCCTAATAACTTTTACCAATTACGAGTTATCTAAACCAATGGAAATGAATATAATGATATAAAAAACTTTAAATAGAAAATAAAGTCCACTTATACGTTAATTTATAAAATATGAATTGCAAAGGCATAATATAGGTTTCAATGCTTTATAGTAGCTATTTTATGTATTATGTTGAAAAAGGTTAACCTTCTTTATGGTTATTGTGTGGAAATGGGCTAGAAATAAGAGTTTTAACTTATATCGGTAATGGAACTATATCTTTGATCACTCAAAGCCTATTAAAGAATTTTTTAAAATCTCCTTCGTTTTTAAGTAAAGTTTGATAATTAAACAAAAAAATAAATTTTAAACTTAAAATATTTATATTTGTCGTTGGATTTTTTTACCTTTCCAATAAGGATTTTTCCATCTTCTTGCACAACATCTTCAAGTTCTTTAAGATAATCGAGCACAGAAGTTCGGCCAACTATAAAACAAAAATACCTCGTAAAATTTAAGAAAAAAAAATCGTATTTCGTTAAAATAAATACAGGATGTTCTGTAACCACCGCTTTAAAATCTACATTTCAGGAGCTTTTTTTCAGAAATGAAGTCTAATAAATATGTAGAATGCAGATTTTAGGTGAGAAAGAAGCCCATTAACAAGATTATTAAAAAGACCCATTAACAAGAAAGGCGATATTTTAAGACTTCAAAAGTTGTTTGATTTCTGGAGAAAAATGAGGGGAGTTATAAGGCGATTATTATAAACATCTTAAAGTTTCATTCGACAACCAAACTGCTACTCTTATTTTCAGTCTACTCTTATTTTCGCAAAATATCAATAGGAGGAAAAGCCACAGTTTCGTGAAAATGAAAAGCTTTTGCAGTCTAATTTTTTAATATTTAAAAACTTTCTCCAATGCTGCGTTACGTGGGCTCATAGAAATTTGCAAAAACTGAAAATACTGCAGTGAGTTCGATAATTTTCCTCTAGGTGTAAAAATGTCGCTTGATTGGCGATTTTTAAAAAAGTTTAATAACTTTAGAAAAATTTAAGTTATTAGTCTGTTCAGAAGCCCAGATAATTCTTCACGGCAAGATTATGATTAAGACGGCACTTAAACTGAGGCTTCTTGGCGACAGAGTTTAGAAAAACAGCGCTAAGGCGACATTTCAGCTACATGGTACCCACGATAAGTGATTATTAGAAAAGTTTGATACCTTTACTATTCTATTCCTTTACTATTGACGAAATTCGTTTCCTCGAAGAAGTGTCCATAGGTATTTCCTCATTTTGACGAAATGTTCGCTAGGAGCATATACCAGGAGTATCCATTTTTTACAGTGTGGGCTGAGTGTTTTTTTTCTAGTGTTTTTTTCTACTTTAAAAATAGTAATTTAAGACTCCTGAAATGTTTAATTTTTTTCTTCATCTATGACAAGATTCTAAAAATTTATATGAAGAGGCGATTAAACAACACTCTGTTTGTTCGAATTACTTACTATCAGTAGGCAATGCTGCAGTTGAAGCAACAGCCAGACACAAAACTAACAATACGCCGTTCATTTTGAATTGTTTGAAGTAGCTGAAAAACAAAAAAGGAAAATGCTTAAAAATAATAGTTTTCTTTTATCAACAATTATAATATAAGTTATCATTGAAACTATTTCTTGTAATCAAACTTAATTTGTATCTTTATTCAAAAATTTTTGTTTGTATATTTTTGTAGTTATGAGGTTTTAATTTCGGATGAATGAAAATTTTTAAACTTTTTTTAACCTTGTAATAAAAGAGAACATGAATCTTTTTGGATATTTTAAAAGTTTATACTTAAAGTGTGAACAATTAAAGTCTTACAATATCCTTGATAGAAAAAATTCTGGATCGGAAAAAAATTACTGTACTTGCATGGTAATGACAGTTCTGGTAAAAAAAAAGAAAAAAAAAATACAATTCTTATAATAAAACCAAAATATACGGTATTTAAACTATTATTACCATACATTTGGTAATTTTTCTTTTCCTATGGTATTTTTTCTGTTTACCGTAAGTTTTAGTTTTTAAAATGATATTTTTTTATTATTACACATTTAGTAAAAATACAAAACTGAGAAGTAAATCTAACCAAATAAATGTTGTCCATGCTATGCTACAAGGTATCACGATAAAATTTAATAAATTTATCGTGA